AAAAAAAAAAAAAAAAAAAAAAAACACATCATAGTAAAATTAATACCTTCTCCGCTTCGCATCGAAGCTAAAAAGTTTCAAATTGCAAGAACAATAATATTACTGTTTGTATGTTGCCACGAATAAAACGAAATATATATAGTTTGCATTGAGTTTTGTTATATTTTCGAAAAGTTGAGCACATAAATATGTATATACTTTTTATTATTTTTATACTGGGTAAAAGTAGTTGTGTGATCTTGAGACATAATTTTTCAAAAAAGTAAACGTTGTTTGAATTATAAAATAGTTGGTACTGAAACTCTAGAATTCCATAAGTCGAATATTTATTTGTACTTGATGTTGTTTAATTCTATGTTGGCTGTACTGAAAATAAGGTTAAGCGCAAGTGCGCGATTTGTAACGCTTAACGCCAATAGTGTCGTACCTGTACTTTTTGTGTCCAAGCTCGAGACATTCAGATACAACAATGTGCAGGACAAGACGGACAATAGGTATTCGGGTCAAACGTATCTCGGGCGTTTAGCAACTCGCCTTGGTTGCCGTCACGACTCGGCGGTCGTGTAGCATATATTACATACAGTGACTCGAATCTTTAACTAACGGCTGCCCGTCATAACGTCCAATGAAATGGAAAAGCACTCGTCCTCGTACACGGACCGATGTACCACCGACTGCAGATAACGTGCGCGGTCAAGAGTACCGACATTTTTCTACCAGTTCGCAGTGCAGTGAAACCGATCATGTCTGTTTTTTCAACGCACACGCTGATGTTATCATGCTATAAATAAACATTTTTTTTTTTTATCACTTTTAATACTCGTGTCGTTAAGTCGACATGTTTCAGCTGTCGTTAGACGACGGTGACAATTTTGTTTGGGAACACATTGAACAGCCGCAATTTCTTCTGCATTGGTTGGGTTGTTGAAGAAACTTTTGACCAGTATTATTATCCGATTATCACTTAGTTTCTAGCGTCGCTATCTAACTACCGTAACCCACGTGTTGCATGTTATGACATAAGGAATTCAATTAACAAAGCCTTGATTTGTGTTCGAAACACGCCTAGCCGATATTCTAAATAAAAACGAAACTATCAATTCAAATAGGTTTTTGATGAATTTAATAAATAATGTTTCGGTTAAATATGAAAAAGAAAACGCTCACACATTTTCATTTCCATGAAACTCTGAAAGTACTATTAAGAATTGATCAATTAAAACTAGATTAGATCATGCACATATGAGAGACTTGCCAATAACATTACACGCTGTCGTTTTGCATCAACACGTTCGCATGTTAAATTATGTATTATTTACTTTATACGGTACAATAAATTATTGACGGAAAATATTGGACAAATAACGTATCATTAAGTACGTTAGCCAGAGGGATTGGGTGCGGTTTACCATTCCACACCTAAAATAAAACACGTAGGTTACACATGACATGATTTTGATAAATTATTTTATTGCTAAATAACCAAATGCAAATTGGTCCCATTTGGTTAATTGGACCGTGAGGATAAATATTTATTTTATAGAAGACCATTTCTACAATCGCCATAATAATAAGTATAGTTTCCTTGATTTCGTGATTTTCACCAATTAATTAAAAAAAAGTAAATAGCAAGCGATTAAAAAAAATATAAGAATTTAATCAGTACTGAAATTGATTGGCTCAGTTCCGATAGTTAAGATAGTTTAATAAGAAAAAAATAAAATTGAAGTGATAACATTTTTGAATTGATGCGTCATAATAAATGGCATGATTTGAAAAAATGTCGAATTGCTAAATAATCAAATGCGACACGGTTATTCAAAGATATTGTAGTTTTTTAGAGATAATATTTGCAACTATCATAGAGTGTTTATTGGAAATTGGAAAAAATACAGTAACTTTAATTTCAGCGTATAAGTATAAAATAATTATTCTTCAATCAACCATGTGCTTGATTTCTCGGAACTATTTAAGAGTTAGGCTCAATACAAAATATGCAGTTTACAGCGTTTAAACGACTGACATAAAATCTCAGTTGTCTGGATGCCGCTCGTAAGAATGAAATTATTAACGAAAGATCTAAACATAAAAGTCTTTTTTC